CAATCCCTTCCATTCATACCGCCCTGTCAGACACCCGCAGAGCCCTCGCAACGGTCTCGGCGCCCTCACCAGACAGGAAGCCCCACTTTGACAAGATCCTCATCGCGAATCGGTGCGTGCGCTCTCTCCGATGCCCTGACGTAGCACTCATCGCGATCCCTCTGAAGAGGCGAGATCGCGTGTCGTGTGATCCGCACGGCGAAGAAGCTGGGGATAACGACCGTCGCGGTCTACAGCGAGGTGGATGCCGACGCACTGCACGTTCGCTTGGTACGTGCATCAGACGCGACGCGCGACGCCTTTCACTTACGTCGCGCCGTGCACTCTAGGCGGACGAGGCGTACTGTATCGGGCCTGCCGCATCGTCGGAGAGCTACGTAAGCCCATTCGTGCCCGCCGCGTATTGACTACGACCTGAACGCTTCGCCCGCAGCTCCGCATGGACAAGATCATCAAAGTCTGCCACCGTAGCGGCGCTCAGGTCAGCTGCGTCTTCCCCAGATGAACAAGCTCTAACGCGCAGCTCGCAAGGCCGTGCACCCCGGCTACGGCTTCCTCAGCGAGAACGCGCACTTTGCGGAACGTCTCGCGCACGAGGGCATCGCGTTCATAGGCCCTCCCGCCAGTGCCATCGTGAGCATGGGTTCTAAGAGGTAGGCAACCCCGGCGTCTCCTGCGCGCCGCTTGTCTGACTGACAGGCACGGACTCTAGCGAGTCAAAGACGATCATGTCAGGTACGCGTTGAATCGCTATGGCTATCCCTAACTCTATCTAATGACTATCCCGCCAAACAAGACGCGGGCGTGCCAGTCGTCCCAGGCTATCACGGGGCAGATCAGGATCCCGCACTGCTCGCTCAAGAAGCGACTCGGATCGGTTCGTCCTGTGTCCCTCCCATGACCTCGCTACTGACCTGCGACCGCAGGCTATCCGGTGCTCATCAAAGCCGTGCACGGCGGCGGCGGCAAAGGCATGCGCGTCGTGCGCTCCGCTGCCGAATTCGCGGACGCGCTGGAGAGCGCACAGCGCGAGGCGCGCAAGGCGTTCGGGAACGAGCACGTACTGGTCGAAAAGTTCATCGAGCGGCCGAGGCACGTCGAGGTGCAGGTGTTTGCGGATGCGCTGGGCGGGTGCGTGAGTCTGTGGGAGAGGGACTGCTCGGTGCAGAGGAGGAACCAGAAGATCATCGAGGAGGTGAGTGTGATACAACTATCGCAGGAGAGCTTGATGGTCGACGGACACGCTCTGTAGGCACCGGCACCCGGCTTGTCACCGGAGTTGCGCGCGGACCTGAGCGCAAAGGCCGTTGCGGCTGCCAAGGCTGTGAACTATGTCGGTGCCGGCACCGTCGAGTTCATCTTTGACAACGATACGGACAAGTTCTACTTCATGGAGATGTACGCTCGTCCTCCTGGTGCTGACCCTCTCGCAGTCGCTGACAATGCCCGTGCGTTAGGAACACGCGGTTGCAGGTGGAACACCCTGTCACGGAGATGATCACCGGGTTAGATCTGGTCGAGTGGCAGCTGGAGGTATGTCAGTGTCGTGTCCGTCCAACCCGTCCTCACGATTCCTCAGGTGGCAGCAGGCAACCCGCTCCCTCTCGATCAGTCGGAAGTCCCGCTGGTAGGGCACGCCGTCGAAGCGCGGATATACGCCGAGAACCCGCGCAACGACTTCCTCCCCGACTCCGGGCATCTGCTCTACCTCTCCACCCCGACGCCCACGCTCACCTTCGCGGCCCCCGTCCCTCCCGCATCGCGCTCGCCCGCCGAGGCGCTCGTCCCCGTCCTCAGCGGCTCTGCACACGCCGCGGTCGTGCCGTCCGTGCGCGTCGAGCAGGGCTTCGAGGCGGGCGCGCAGATCGGCGTGTTCTACGACCCGATGATCGCGAAGCTCGTCGTGCACGGCCGGGACCGCACGGAGGCGCTGCGCATGCTCAGGGGCGCGCTCGACGAGTACAGGGTCGTGGGCGTTTCTACGAATGTGGAGTTTTTGAGGACGCTTGCGGGGCACGGCGCGTTTGTGGATGGGGAGCTGGAGACTGGGTTCATACCTGTGAGTGCGTCGCGAAGTTTGTATGCTAAGTCGGGAGTAGAAACATCGTGCGCAGCTGTTAGGGTTAGACGCACTCGCTCTGTCTCGCCGTGCTGTCGCCACTGGCATGCGTGCACGAGACTGCCAGATGCATCCACGTGAGGTACGACCATGCAGTATGTTAGAGATCGTGCCATGCAAGGAGCAGAGAGGCCTTTCACCGGATACAAGGCATATCGAACGCTTTGCCGCAGTCTACGCTAGTCTCTGCAGCTCACAAAGGCCTGGTAAGCACGGTTTTGTTTTGACTACACTGAGTTGTATTCCATCTATTTCCAGCTAGTTTCGACATGCGCTCGCTGTCCTCCCCTTCTCCACGAATCCCTCGATACCATTCCCACATTGTGCTACCCTGATCCGGCACCGAATCCTCCATCACCGACGATGCGCGCGTGCGCCTTTCCCATTCTTATCCCTTGCCGCCCAACTCGTCCTCGCCCTCGACCTTGCCGTACCAGCCCGCTCATCTCTTCAAGCCCTGTTCCCCTTGTTGCAAACAACATATCGTGGCTCATGAACCGCCCGACCGTCCCATCGACGTTCCTTCACCAACCTCCCCGCGCTAGGTACATCAATGCGAAGGGTTTGAGCGCGCCGCCTCGTTTCGAGACCAGACCGTGCGTCGGGGCCACAGCATTGCGATCGAAGACGGAGGGCGTTCCTTGCGCTGCGTGCGCTCGACGTCGACGCCGACGGACCGCAACGTGGACCGTGATTCGACGCGATGGACAGGGAGTGCTGGGAGACATCTCGAACGGTGAGCAGACTACC